CTTGAACTCTGGGCCTGGGCGCTGTCCCTCAACTCTTCATCTCAAGGCTAGTGCTCTACCACTTGAGCCACAGTGCCACTTCCAGTTTTCTGATGATTTATTGTAGACAAGAGTCTCATGGATTTTCCTGCTGACTCTGCCTTTGAATCACGATCCTCAGGTCTCAGCCTCCTTAGTAGCTAGGATTACAGATATGAGCCACTAGTGCCAGACTTCAAAATTCTGTTATTTATTTATTTTGTGTTGGACCTAGGGCTTGAAGTCAGAGTATGGGCGCTGTCCCTGAGCTTTGGTGCTCAAGACTAGTGCTCTACCTACCACTGTGAGCCACAGCTCAGCTTCCAATTTTGTGAGTGGTTAATTGATGGGCTTTCCTGCCTAGTCTGGCTTTGAAGCTCAAGCATCAGATTTCAGCCTCTTGCATAGCAAGGCTTACAGGTGGGAGCCACCAGCGCCCAGCTTGAGATATGTTATAACTGAGCTTAGAAGCCCCCGGGCCTTCCAGGGTCACCTCATCCAGCACAGCTGTGGAGTCATGATGGCCCCGAGGGGTCAGCCCCGCATGTCACTCAGCGCCACTGCAAGGTCCTGAAGTTTGGGGCATGACTCAGCTTCTCCAGCGTTGGAGTAGGGATGGACTGCTGCCTAATGTCAGAAATGCCTGGAAATGGGAGCACTTTAACCTAGTCTGGATCACCCCCTCGCGCGGGAGCTCTGGAGTAGCCTCTCCGGCCAAACCAGAAACAGGGAGGCTCCTGCCACCAGTGAGACGCGAGTCTACTTCTGGCTTTTTCTGCTGAGGATTCGTACCCAGGGCCTCATGCATGCAAGGCAAGCACTCTACCACCAAGCCACCTTTGCAACCCCAATTGGAGACATTAAGTTCTTTGGCTATTCTTTCCTCTAGGTCTAAAAAGAGGTTTTTCCGCATCCCCAGGAAGCCTGATCCTTTGGTTCCTTTTTCATTTCGTCCTGTAGTGACCCAAGGTGACAGTTAGCTGCTGAGTTGAGTCTGGGTGACTCTGACGCTTGTTATATCCGTTGTCTAACAAGTTGTTCCCAAGCTAGGTCTTGAACCCCTCTTCCCTTGGGACATCCACACTGTGTGTAGAAGTCCAGCAGACCCTTTCCTCACTCTCCATGGTCTCCTGCAGCGTTGCCCTTCCTTTGGGACACCCAGTACAGCTTACCGGAGGCTTCGCAGCCCCCATAACAGAGTCCGCTGGCAGACACTGAACTGTCTGGCGGTTCCTATGCGCTTCTGTATAGCAGTGGGTACCTGGGGGACACCCTGCAAATGCTCTCTGGAAAGTTAAGCACCCAGGTTCAGAGGAGGGCAGGAACGTGCCCCATGCCCCCTCTCCTGCCCGGTGTAAACTAGTCAGTTCCGGAGTGAGTAAAGCAGGCTCCAAGGGCTCTGGAGGCTCTGGAGGTTCCTGGAGCTGGCTTTACTCGGCTGTGGGGGGGGTAGACAGAACAACAACATAATAGCCCCTCTAATGGGGTTCTAGTGATTGAACATTCCATTCCCTTACCAGTTAGATGGTGTCCTGTGGTTTATAAGGGGGGAAGGGGGGCAGGTGACAGGCTAGTGGGAGTCTCCCCTTCTTGCTGCTAGGGTCTCCAGTTTGGGGATAAGATGTCCCAGTTGGTCCAATTCCATGTTGAGAGTGGGGACTGACAAATCAGTTGAGATGGCTCACACCTGTAATCCTATAGCTACTCAGAAGGTGAGATCTGTGGATCACAGTTCAAAGCCAGCCCAGGCTGGAAAGTCAGTGAGACTGTAGTCTCCCATTAACTACCACAAAAAGCCAGAAGTGGAGCTGTGGCTCAAGTGATAGAGCAAAAAAGCTCAGGGACAGCGCCCAGGCTCTGAGTTCAAGCGCCAGGATTGGCACCAAAAAAGAAAAAAAAAGATTTCAAAGCTGAATTTGACAAAAAGTATTTATAAGAGGCTTTTCTCTGTGGATCTGACTGTAAATGCTTCACAGGGTTAAATGCGTAACGCCCGTGCCGTG